AACAATTACTGCCCGGAAATATATTCCATATCAATGATTTTCTCTTTCATACTGTATGTTCTTCCGTCAATGGAAAATAACTAGACACATAATCCTGCCATAAATGTGTAACCATTACTTCACAAACCTTAATGACAATCTTATGAATAGTAGGTACTGGCCAAGGGGAAAAAACCGACAGAAAAAAAAGCTGGCAAAAAATGAAACAAAAAAAGAAACTGGCAGCTCTGTTTTAATTTTTTTCTCTAACTGGTCTCCAATCTTGTGAAGAATGGTTGTGAAGATTTATCGTGACACGCGAAAAATATTGTTAAAACGCTTTTCAGAATACAGTAGTTTGACCACAGATAGTCCAACTCCAACTAATAACTCCACTGTACTGATGTTTCAAGCCGACGACATGAACGAATTCGGGGTATTTACGCTTCATACAAATTGGAAAGCAGTGCCAAGCACAGCCGAAGAATCTTCCTTTTTCTATTAAATTATTAATTACTAAGTGCAAAATTTACAATTGATTCTGACGCCTTTTAATTCTCTGCTAATTTTAAGGATTTGTTTCAAGATAATTGCTCTTGTGAACGCCGCATCTTTATTTTATAGGCCTTTATTTGTCCATATTACAGCTTGCAACACCCGCATGTTCTGATTTTCCGACCAAAATTCGACGTCTAAACTGCACGCAACACTTCCGTCGAATTTCCGTTGGATAATTGTCACATTAAATTCAACAAATTAAATTCGACTGAAATCCGACGTATAAACTACGCCTTAGTGTTGCATGAAAATGGCTTCCTGTCTGACTTTATTAGTGCTTTATTACAAAGTCGATTTCTGCTTTGTATGGGTAATCATGCGATGGCGAGTACAATTAGGAATTAATAGTACGAGTGATGTTTGGAAATTTTGCAAATTTCCATACATCACGAGTGCTATTAATCCCTAATTGTACGAGCAACATCGCATGACAAAATTGGATACTTCTCTGTCGAGATCATATTCTCTCGCACGAGAAGCCAGTCAGCTCCAGTTTCAGATTCGCAGCTCCAGTTTCAGATTGAATTTGGAGCCAGAGGCATGGCGTTCGTGTTCGAATGGCTCTAACTCCACAAAGCCTTCACCCATCTTAACAATAATTTTTTTCATTCCTCTTCAAGAAAATGACTATCATATAACGCAATCCCTGAGTCGCTACTGCTTCTAGATTGCTCTAAACAGCTTGCATAAGTCAAGTCGCCAAACCGTGTCGGGTCAATTAAATCTTGAGCCATGCCCGATCCCGACTGTTGGGAAAAGCCGTGATAGTATTCTTTTCAAAACAATTTTGTTTTGTATCCTATAAATATCTCAATTTGTACGATAGTCGATACGCTGTATAGTGTCTTGACGCTGTATTGTACTATTGTGTTTTTGAAACTTGTAAAGTGAAAAGTGTATTAAAACTTTTATATTTCGAACGATATAGTTTTACATTTCATTTTACCAAATTTCTCAGCCATTTCCTGAATTAACAAATTAATGCTGGTGAAAAAGTCATTCGATCATTGAGTTTATATTCTTATTATTAGCATGACAAAATTACTGGATGCTGCCATTGGTTGAGAGCAGTGAATTAATGATTTTCCCAAAACAAACAAAATGGCGGAAAGGTATTTTGAACACAAATGTGAAATGAAATTGCCCTTGAGGAACTAGATGAAAATGCTTTTACAAAAAAACTAAATGAAAATACGAACAAATGTACCATGCAAATTTTGGTTGAATGTCTGGCAGGACTGGGCTTTGGCGAGAGAAACGAGAAGCCAGTCAGCTCCAGTTTCAGATTCGCAGCTCCAGTTTCAGATTGAATCTGGAGCCAGAGGCATGGCTCAAGATTTAATTGACCCGACACGGTTTGGCGACTTGACTTATGCAAGCTGTTTAGAGCAATCTAGAAGCAGTAGCGACTCAGGGATTGCGTTATATGATAGTCATTTTCTTGAAGAGGAATGAAAAAAATTATTGTTCAAAATGGGTGAAGGCTTTGTGGAGTTAGAGCCATTCGAACACGAACGCCATGCCTCTGGCTCCAGATTCAATCTGAAACTGGAGCTGCGAATCTGAAACTGGAGCTGACTGGCTTCTCGTTTCTCTCGCCAAAGCCCAGTCCTGCCAGACATTCAACCAAAATTTGCATGGTACTTTTGTTCGTATTTTCATTTAGTTTTTTTGTTAAAGCAAAATTTGGTGCTTTTGTTCGTATTTTCATCTAGTTCCTCAAGGGCAATTTCATTTCACATTTGTGTTCAAAATACCTTTCCGCCATTTTGTTTGTTTTGGGAAAATCATTAATTCATTAATTGTACTGCAGTACAATTAATGAAATAATTGTACTGCTCTCAACCAATCAGCATCCAGTAATTTTGTCATGCTAATAATAAGAATATAAACTCAATGATCGAATGACTTTTTCACCAGCATTAATCGGTTAATTCAGGAAATGGCTGAGAAATTTGGTAAAATGAAATGTAAACTATATCGTTCGAAATATAAAAGTTTTAATACACTTTTCACTTTACAAGTTTCAAAAACACAATAGTACAATACAGCGTCAAGACACTATACAGCGTATCGACTATCGTACAAATTGAGATATTTATAGGATACAAAACAAAATTGTTTTGAAAAGAATACTATCACGGCTTTTCCCAACAGTCGGGATCGGTTTTTGCTATTTGTTTGAAGCGAATGTTTCGGACTGGTTTTAAATAAGTTTTAAATTGTCCGTGAATATGTCTGACACAGTAAAATAATAAAGGAATCCTACCTTTCAAGTTAAATACAACATTTTGTGCTTTTTTCGTTTTCTGGGACGATTTTTTCAATATTTTTCCAAACCAAATTTGCCAAATCATTCTTTTTGAAAAGCATTATTTACTAGTCTGCCAGTCTGCTAGTAAATAATGCGTCAGATTTACTAGTCAACTAGCCAATCAGAACGCGCGAAAGCTCATTTGATATGCCATGGCAAAAATTATACTAAATATCTTTATAAATGGCAATTGTGTTGACATATATAGGTCGCATGGATTATCTTATTCATACTCTGTTTTTATATTTCAAAAGTTGAAACCTTACCTGATTTTACAATTTGCCGAAAAATTCCTTCAGAACAAAGACCTTTCTTCAGAAACAAAAATACAAACACAATAACGAAATATACACCCAGTTCATGGAATCGTACCATTTTCGGTTGAATTGGAAATACGGAGATCTCCTCGCAGTTCTTTAAGATTTGAGACTTTGAGATTTTTAAGTGCGTTGCCACTGATATATCGATCTCAGTGCATGTCCGAATACAAGTTTGAATTAAATTGTGTTTATAAATTATTTGGACTGTTATACTAAATTTAATTGAATTCTGTCAATAATGTATTTTAATTGTTGATTTATCGCAGAATGTCAAAGTGCGCGAAAACAACGTTACGGCAAGCAACTCTTGCAGCTGATCTAGTTAGACGCAAGATGAACATCTATAAAGAACTGTCAAGTCTTTAGAAATGGTTTGCATAGAGGACACCAAAGCGTTGACAAAATAAAAATATTTTTATATAAATAATCTAAATGGACAATACAAACAAAAGACAATGTCACTCGTACGAATATTTTGGCTTGTTTTCTTCCTATGCGGGTTGATAGAAGTTATTAATTAAATTCTAAGTATACATGATGAATATTTCAAACTGTTTTAATAAACTGCCTATTGTTAATTAAAAATTTCATTTCTTCATTTAGCGAGATTAATATTCCATCGCCGGGCAGCTGCATCGTTTATTATTCGTCAGGTAGAAATAATGCTACAACAAAATAACAATTTTATCTTTTTCAGCATTTCATCTCTCCAAAATTATATCGCGAGTATGCTGTCCTTTTTTAGTTCTTTATCTTCTTTGAAGCAAAATGTTAGGGACCGGGTGGTGGATAGGCTGGTGGACATGAAAAATTAGATATTAAAATTTTGTTGGCCTCCCCCCTTTAGGATAACACAATTATACATGACCCCCCCCCCGGAAGCGAAACAAAAGGCACATACGTAATTTAAAGTTCTTGTGAAGCGACATTTAATCACACTACCCTACTATACATGTATCGTAATTTATATATTCTTTACCATTTATCGAGTCAACGGCTGATCCAATGTACATGCAATGAAATATCTCAATGGGTAAAATATATTCACCGATATGTACTACTTTTCTGTTTTTGAATCTACGAAGTCAGCTACGAAGTACATTATATGCTATCGACGTGTTAGCTGTTAGCTGTTCACTGTTAACTTAGCCAATCAGCGACTAGTATTACCAAAAATTACTACGTAATTACAAATCACGGCTAGCTTGGTCACGAGACAATCCAATATGGCGGTAAAGAGGGGTTAAAATTTATTATTTATATTTATTCACGCATTGAAATATGATGACTTGTGGATGAAAATGGAGCGATTCAAGGTAAATTAATCTTGGAACTACGTGTCTGTTTTGTAGTAGCATGCTTGCTGTACACTTTTCAGCAATTTACACTTTTCAAAATAAAAATTTCGAAGCGTCTGCCGATCTCTGAACTTTTATAAATAAAGCTGATTGCGCGTTCTAAGTCTGTATCATGCAGCGCCGATTTCTCACTCCTGCTTAGTTTCTCACATGAAACAATTATGTTAAGTACATAAATACACAGCGTATATTAAGGGAGCGGTCATTAATTATTAGGGGGGGAGGGCCGGTAAAATATCTAAAACGAGGGCCCAAAAATGTTGACCCCCTTTCAAATTAGCGCCCAAAAATTTTAGCCCCCCACAAAATAATAGCCCAGAAAATTTTGACCATCCCCTTCCTTAGATAGCTTCCTTCCAATCCGTCAAGCATCAAACAGCGACATAATTTCGTCAATAAAATATGGCTATATAGTATAAAACACTCCTATACATGCATTAAATAGTACATCATTTGAAATCTTTATGTAAATTAGTCTATAGCACTGACTCGTCCCTTCCATGTCCGGCAAACTCTACCAGATCTTGTGGTCTGCAAAAGGTTGGAAATGTTTTCTTCCTCCTCCTCCTCTTCTCCCGCATCACCTTCATAAATTTCTCCTTCATCGTCGTCGGAATCAATATCATCCTCATCACTTCCAATCTCCTGCACGACAACATCGTCGTCACCAGAATCCTGGTCGTTACTATCTCTGTCATCATCAGAAAGTTGACGGTTATCAGGGACTAGCGACTTTGCTATGTCAAGTGATACGATATCGACTTTTTCTTGCTTTAACGCCCCTTTCGACTGCTTCAAATTTCTCATTGATATATACATGTCCAGTACAACAACTTTCAGTTTCTTTATTTTTCCTTCCCTGTAAATAGCTTTCCAGTTGTAATCTTCAAAGGTCTTTCTCTTTTTTTCCAGATTTGCGCGCTTTCTGCTATCTTCCCTCTTTTTTTTTCCTTCTTTCTAGTTCGCGAAGATGTTCCAGGTACTGTGTAACCAGCCTTTTTTCCACCACATACTTTTTGCTGAACTTTTCCACGTCGTCATCGTCATTCATATTTCATGTTGGTCCATACTGGGAAACCTCTGGATGTATACCTTACTCTCAACCAATATGGGACTCAGACTGATCACGTATATGTTTTTATACTACAGACCATATATTTGTATGATTTCCGTTTGTTAGATTTTATTGTACCGCATATTATTGACATGAAAAATGTACACCATATTGCTGAAATTAGCAATGAACTTTACAGGCTCGGCAAGTGAGGAAATATACGAGTATCAACTAGTTGTTATACTTGACATTACATGTATAAAATATGATTTATTATCGTTGGTGAAAGAAATTGTTCTGGTGTTGGTGAATCTCTGCATGGAAGCCTTCATTCATTATCCGTGTACGGGCCCATTGAATTGGTCATTGAAATATAACTTTTTTTACTGAAATAGGTGCCCAAATATTTGTGGCCCTCCCTTCTAGATGGGCACAAAAAAATTTGGCCCTCTCCAAAAGGGGGTCCAAGAAATGGTAGCCCTCCCCCTAAATTTACCGGCCCCAGTAATTAATGACCGCTCCCTAATATAGTTCGGCTCACCGCACACTTTCGTTGAGTGCCGATGTTTATTGTTTAGGACGTAACTCTCCAAGATGTTGTTGTTAGAATTCCAAAATGTAATACGATCCGGTATGAAGTCTGCGCTCATGTCGATTGTCGAATATTATTTCACTCAATGTAGACACAATAAAAGTGCAACAGTGATGTATTTATACGTGATTCTTGTTCACGTTTAACTAGCATTGTACTTATCCTGTCTCTGTTTCAACATATCATTTACGAACAATTGAAAAGACTTTATTAGTCAATTGTATATTGGTGTGTATTGTGTTTTATAATATCTTGTTTCACGGCAGGGGCATTGGCTTTATATAGGTCAGTGGGCAGGAGTCTCTATTCAGTATTGCGTGTACGAATTCGTCACGCAAAAAACGCGTTCGGATTGTGCACGCCTAAGACACAGTTACTGTGGGTTTTTACTTAAATCTTCAAAAAAAATCAAAATTTCTTTTTTACATATTTAATGACTTTGGGACCTTAGCTAACATGTGCCCAAACCGTTTTTAAAAAATCAAAATCCTTCCCCTACTTTTGAGGGTTTTAATTCTCTTGGGCCTGCACGCGGGCTAGTTTTAATATGCATTATCTTATTTTTGTTACCCGTTTCCATGGCAACCAATATGGCATTTTTTGTTTGTTTGCCACTTTAACTTGATTGTCCGCTTGCCAGCGTTTCGAAAGCAAGTGATTTACATAGTACCCTTTGTTGTGTACTACATAAAGTATTTGGTGCTGTTATAATTTGGTGATTGCTGGCGCTCATTGCCATGCCAAAATTGTGATCAAAATTTTCAACGGAAATGCTATTTTCGAACGTGAAAAGAAATCAAATTCTTCGCTCTTTAATCTTTGCTTTTTAACATAAACAAATGGTTGGACAAAGCTCCAGATCTTTATATAAAAGAAAGAGGAAAGGGACTGTTTCGTGGCGTCAAAGATACAAGAAAGACGAGGCTTTAAATTCATCACGTAGTGACGTAGGGGGAGCATCCATACCACAGAATAAAGACATACAGAAGTGTAACTTCCATTACAAAACCGTAAGGCGCTTTTTTAAATTTTTACCGAAATAGCTGGCGGCCATGTTCTTAGCAAGTGCCCTAAAGAGAGGCATTCACTCCCCTGGAATATTAAATTTTCAATATGTTTTCAGGGGGTGACTGCCTCTCTTTAGGGCACTTGCTAAGAACATGGCGGACTGAAAAAATTCCTTACGCACTTTTAATAAGAAGATACACTTCTGTATGTCTTTATTCTGTGTCCATACTCAACTTGCCACGAGAAACGTCAATTTGACGTCTGTGGGTGTGTGGGTTATTTTCTTTGACGTTTTGCCTGTGGCAGTTTGACACTTTTGAATATTATAAAAGTACAATATAAAATTATTTTGTATAATATAAAATTCTATTTGTAATATGTACTTTAAAAACACAAACCTGTGCAATGTTTTCCCTAGTCAACGGAAAAAAAAAAACTTTCTTACTTAAGCTTCGCCAAGCGGTAAATCAAGGCTTTATATTTATTTGTTATGTTTGTATATTGTTCGCTATAGTCTCTATTCAAAACTACTTTATGAGATATATAGGATGATATGGAAGTTAATACAAGTATTTTCGAGTATTCACACTTGTTTTTTTCTTGCCACGGATTGACGTTTCTAGGGTGGGTGGGTGGGTATGAAAAAGAAACGTCAAATTGACGTTTCTCGTGGCAAGTTGAGTATGGATGCTCCCCCGTATCAGACATCTCAAACAGGCGAAGTTGATGGTCAAAATATCGTTGGAACCTCAATGAAGAAAGTGCGAGGTGACAGTAAGAATGCAGAGTCCGAGTTTACGATTGAGAATCCTTAAAACTGTCAAGAATTCTGGGTTATTAGCAATTTAGCCTGAACTGTTTGTCCACAGGCCACAGCTGTGTCAAGTATGCAACACATTTGTCAAGTGATTTGTGCTGTTCAAAGGAAAATTTCCCTTCAAAAGTTTTTTTATGTTTTCAATCCACTTACCTTTTAATATAAGTTTAATTGATAAGTTGTATTCAAACAAAAGTATATTTGCATTATATTTATCTTTTGTCTTAATTTTAATTATTTGCAGATTGTGTTAATAATTTAATATATTTCTGAGATGATACTCAGTTCTATGACCCTGTCAGAATTAAGGAAATATGACTCTTGAAGACGTCCCTGACAAACGTTCTGGTCTCATGTCAGAGTTTGCGTTGGGATGTGATTCATGTAATGAGTCAAGCAGTTTCACCACATTGGTCAAATATGCTGCTACTCGGGGAAGGTCACAAGATATAAATCGCTGTGCTGTTTATCACTCAGTGGAGACTGGCAGTGATTACGAAGGTCTGGCATCTTGTTGCAGCATTTTTAACATGCCTTGTATTTCTAGGCCTGCTTACTACAAGCAAGTTGAAGGCATCATGGGATCACTTGAAGAAAAAGCAAAGGTTCCAAGAGATGAAGCAAGATAACTGAAGCGAAGAAGTCTGATTTGCATGCCACTGATAAGGAAAAGAGACGACGCCTATTGCGCACCAGAAGGGAAGAGGCTCCCCGCAATACTGAAGGAGTGACATATGAGGCAGCAGCTTTCTAGCTACTTCTCACAAGGATCTTATAGGTTATTAGAACTTACAAAGACCTTAAACTTTGTAAGATGATGAAATATTTAACATTAACCAGTAACGAAAACTGTAAACTCGATTTTCTCATTTCGCACTATTTCAGCGGTCGAGAAAAGATATCTTGAGTAGATTACAATGGATTTGGCTAAAATTTTTAGTGATTGTTCCACTCAGTCAACTTTGTGTTTTAAGCAGAGGAATTTGTTCCATGGCAAATATTTTGAAAGTTATGGCAGTTTCAATATTTTATAATTCGATGCTAAAATCTTATTGGCCATAACTTTTTCATTATTTAATGTATCCAAATTCTCTCTGCTTAAAACAGTAAACCCTATATGTTAGTTAATTTAAGATATAAAAGAACCAAATCATTCAAATACAAATGTGCAATCCTTTCTTGAATATAGCCTAGTCGCAAATTTGGCAATCGGCCAGAGCCACCTTAATATGGCTTCTTGTGTGCAGTAAATAGCTTTTTTAGATTCCTCAGGGCATAAGCTTTCTGCCAATATATAGTTTGTGGGGGTTTTGATGTAAACTTAGTGAACTATGACGTTTTTCCTTACACCATATATTTAAGGTTAACTCCCCCCTTAAGTGTGCAACTAAGTATCGTCCTACAACTAGAATTGTAAATATTTTAATCTGGAATAACCGTTTTAGCGCAAATTACTGGTATATCAATGACCTGTTTATGCATGCATATATTATTTTCTGATTATGTTTTAGACTAGCTAGTGCTTGGCTACCCTGGGTGCCAGAGCCTCTTGTGATAGAAGTGAGGACACGACGAGGAGGCTCTGGTCACACGAGCATCCAGCCTCACTTTGGTGAGTTCAATATTTGAACTCTGTTTGTGATTGGTCTAAATTTATGTGAGTCTTTTCATTGGTAAACCGACGCTCATCGGTCAACCAATGAAAGACTCGCATAAATTTAGACCAATCACAAACATAGTTCAAATATTGAACTCACCAAAGTGAGGCTGGATGCTCGTGTGACCAGAGCCTCCTCGTCGTGTCCTCACTTCTATCACTAGAGGCTCTGGCATCCAGGGTAGTGCTTGGCCGGCCATTCACTTTTTAAAGTTGTCTATTGACTACTGGGTAGGGTGGGGCAACGATTTATTGCTATTCGTAGATTCATGTACGAGTAGCTTACCTATTTTTTTAGTAATGTCATAAACAATTTCGGTTCATATTAATTAAAATATTCATTTCAAAAACATTGTAATCTTGTAGCCATTCGGCCAGATCGTGTGTAAACATGGAAATCTGTGAATGTTAAAATGTTTATGTTGAAATCAGTTTAATTAATAGATGATGTTGTGTTGGAGTTTACTACAGTTCTACTGCTCTCTATTTCTTATCTGTCGGTTTTTTGGTACGACGGGGTCACACAGGGCAGGTATTTATACTGCACAAAAAATTTTGCCTCCCCCCCGCTCTTTTCCCATCAGCCCCCCCCCCTCTGTAATTAATGACCGGCCCTTATAAATGTTTGCTATGGGAATAGGCCATTTCTGAATTCAACACTCTAGTTGTCAGGAACAGTAACGCCAAGCCGTGAGTCGAGGCTTCGTGGCATCACGTACAAAGCTCGTGCTAAATTTGCTATACAAACTCATTGAAGTTTATATAGAAACTAATCTTAGGGCCTGTTCATATGGGCAAAAGTTATCCTGGTTAGCGAGAAAACTTTTCGACAAGTTTACAAGCTAGATCTCGCCTTAGATATACAAATAACAGCAAATCATTATTTATGCGAATTTCTAATGAATATGCGATTTATTATGCGAATAACTAATGATATAGTAATGCATGGTTGCGTGCATATACAGGGTGTTTTAAAAGAAACTGAACAACTTTGAAATTGCTCTCAATTTCGCAAAACAGCTATTAGTATGCAGTTTTCGATATATATGGCTTCTTTGGGTACTTATAATGTAGGATAATGAAAAAAATTTCGCGAACAGAAATTTTGTAAACCAAGGGGTGTGTCTTTTCCGACAAACTGAAAATGGCTTGCGCACGCGATTTAAAAGCTATAATCGTATTGAGTTAATGGATGATGTGTTGGGTGTTTAATTGCTCCACGAAATTTCAGACAATTTGCTTCAGTTTAAGCCCTTCAACTATCCACGCAAACTTACATTTTTCCTAAAAAATCAGCAATTTGCATTAATGCATTTGCCCAATTTGCATATGTCAGCAATATGCAAATTAGGTAAAGGCATTAATTAAGCATGCGAAAGACTGATTTTTTAGGAAAAAATGGATAGTTAAAGGGCTTAAACTAAAGCAAATTGTCTGAAATTTTGTACAGTAATTAAAAACCCGATAAATTTTCCATCCATTGATCCAAAATATGATTAAAGCTTTTAAATTTCGTGCGCAAGCCATTTTTAGTTTGTTGGAAAAGACACACCCCCTGGTTCACAAAATTTGAGTTCGAGAATTTTTTTTCATTACTTTACCTTATAATTACCTAAAGAAGCTATATACATCAAAAACTAGATACTAATTGCTGTTTTGCGAAATTGAGAGCAATTTCAAATCTGTCCAGTTTTTTTTATACACCCTGTATAACTAACTAAACACTATTCCAGAACACCGTGTACACTCCATTTCATATCGTTCCAGAACCTCTCTCCTTGTGTGTGAGGCTGTGAGCGCGATCTACTGTAACAGACACGATCGATCTCGACGAAATCGCTAATCTGTGGTCAAAATGACAAAGCGCGGACACTTAATAAAAATACGATGTCTCACAGCAAACTGTACGTATTCTTGCAAAATTCCGGCCTAATAAATGACATGAATTTCCATGCTTTGTGCTCAATTTTATTGCAACACACCAAATCACCAAGAGTCGGTCTGGATTCATATTTCAGTGGTGGGTCGGTCTCATTTCGTGATTACACCCCCCCCCCTCCCAGTCAAAATCAATATGTACACCCCTGGCAACGTTTTCACTCGTTGATTTTGCCCAACCCTGGCGTTCAAATAGCATAATATTATAATAAATTTTAACACGGCTAACCCTTCAAAATAACACTCTATGCAGCCTCCATTTGCAATCACGTGAAAATCGGCAGTGTCACGTGTCTGTTCTGGCTGTGGTGTAGTCCTGGAATGTTAACAAGGGGGGCTCTCCAACAGTGGCGAAACTTCGGTATTATGGTTGGGAGCTTGTTTTGCCCGACCAAAAGGGCGTTTCCGAAGTCGTTCGGACGAACATTTGATCAGTCGAGGGACGAACATTTGATCAGTCGCTAATTAATATTTCTTTTCCCAAAATTGTTGGTGAGCGGAGCATTTTTCACTACCACTTTTTCCTACCACTATTACTTTTCAATGTGAGACACTCAAATATTTTCAAAATTTGCCTGACTAAATTGTATGGGTATACCCGGTGGGATAGAGACAGGGGGTGTCACCTCCCCCCTACACACACCCACGCCCGGGTAGTTTCGTCCCTGTTCTCCAAACGAGTCCTGAACTGGCGGGAGGAGGGGGTGTTTACAATATGATATTTTGGAAATTCTAAATTTTGTTGGGTTTTTTTCTAATAATTAGGACGAGGTTGATAATTGTGGGACAAACATTCAAAATTATGCTTATTAAAAACAATTGCTGTTAGTAATATAAAATATTCTGAGCGTCTCAAAAGGCTATGTGATTCAGGGTTTCTGTACCACTTTTTGTAGATGCAATTCTGAAGAACATTCTCGTTTAAGATTAGGCAAAAATTATAGGGGAGGGGGGGGGGGGCTTAACCCCCCCAAGTCGACATGAAATTTTAACAAGGGGGGCTCAGCCGCCTGAGCCCCCTCCACTACACCACAGTGTTCTGGCTGCCCCTACTCGAAAATCGGGAGGCTGCTCAGTTTACTGTTCGGAGTTCTCCGGATTTTCGGAACACTAAAGGTCCATCTGAGACCGAACGCGACTCGACAATGCGACGCGAATTTTCAGTTTTTAAAAAGAAATAAAACCGTCAACGGATAAAAAATTTACAAGAAATGCAGACCAAATAGCTAAAATTGCTCAAGTGGTTCCGAACATTTCAAAAACATAGAAAAATATTAAATGTCATTGAAAAAGTTAAATGTCATTGAAAATTGAAAATTCGCGTCGCGTTGCCAAATCGCGTCCGGTCTGTATGCTCGACCTTAATTGAATTGAACCGAAAACGGTCACATGACTGTTCTGACTGCAAAAGTACGTAGGGCAGTTCAGTGAGCGTCAGAACAGTCATGTGACCATTATTGGTTCGATTTAATCAGTGTTCTGAAAATCCGGAGTACTCCGAACAGTAAACGGAGCAGCCTCTGGGGAACCTCCGGGGCAGTCAGAACAGTTCAGAACAGTCATGTGACTATCTTCTGTTGAGAATCTGCAGTGGCGGCGCCAGGCCTCCAAATTTGGGGGGCATTTGAGGGGCAAACTCAAATTTTGGGGGGCAAGATAGAATTTTTAAAAAGGTCGCCCCCTAGGAGATTCGCCCCCCCCCCCCCTCAAAACGTGGCGATATTCCTAGGAATATCGCCCCCCAGGGGTGTGGGGCGAATACCCTAGGAATATCGCCCCTCTTTAGGACATTCGCCCCCCAGATATGCGATGTGGTTTATTCAAATAATTTCGTGATACTTTCATCTTATTAGTGCCTTACACGTTTGAGAATTTAACACTGCAAAACTAAAGCTTTTTTGTTTTGTTTTTTAAACGTATTATTGGAGTATTGGCAAGTTTTACCATTCAGAGATTTACAAACTAATATTGAAACTGTAAAAGACAGTTTCACTTTATACGCGCATTCACTAATGAGTAATGACAACTTATAAGCCATACATTTTCCGATAACGACAAAACGCTTGTGTAGCCTTTAGTCGCTCTTAGTGACTAATAATTTTTTTTGAGAGGGGGGCAAAAATTAATTGGGGGGGGGGCATTTGCCTCCCCTTGCTCTGGTGCCGCCACTGAGAATCTGTTCCATTCGATTAATGTTCCAAAAATCTGGAGTACTCTAGGCTAGGAGTACTCCGAACTGTAAATGGAGCAGCCGAGAAGGCTACCCAATTACCTTTTCTATCCCTATTTATCCCTTTACATCAACGAGTGCTGCTTATTCCACGTGCTCTTTAAGATGGCGGCCGTTTATTTGCAATTTATGCGATTGATTTTACTCTATCTTTTCTTGTCTATTCTGCTGTTTTCGTTAACTTACTGCTTGTATGAAGATCAAATAGGATTGTTTGATTGGAGGAAAAGCTTTGTAGGGAAGCTAAATTACGTTCATTTTGACGGATCTGCTGCAAATAACAAGAGAATTATCGTGTCATCTGAGGAAAACGTTTTGGCTGCAATGAACTCTAGAACCGGCAACTTGATATGGAGGCGTGTACTTGAACGAAGTAATAATACTATTGATAAACTGCTGCATTTCTCAGACAACATGATCAGCTTATCTGGACGTGGCAAGTTTTTACGTTGTTGGGATCCGGCGAATGGAAATATAATTTGGGAGAACACACTTGGAATTGATGATAGTTTGGAAGAGAAAGCTAGTTTAGCACGAGGTTTGAAGTCTGTTTATGCTCTTGTTTCAGATAAACACTCAGAAAATATCTTTGTCATCGCAGGCAATAATATTAGAGCTTTCTCTATCGCCTCTGGAAAGGAAATTTGGTCGAAAGAAGAGAATAGAGATTTGTTTGGTTTAATGTTTCATGTCGATAATTTGTATACTGTTGGGAGTGAAAATGATAAAATATTCATGCAGCAATTGAATATCAAGACAGGGAATGAAGAAAATTCACATGCTGTTCTTGCACCATGGTTATTTCATAAAGAAACATCGTGTGTATTTATTTCTAATGTTGTCGTTTGTGCTGATCCAGTTGAAAAGATTGTACATACATTACAATTACGAAGTGAAGGAATTTCTCTACAAAGCACTCCAATTTCATCATTATCTTCACTGGATGTTAGAAATATTGATAAACTAACATTATATCTGCCACACTCACTCTCTATAACTCAAAGTCAGAGAGAATTTGTCCTGAAGTTAAACGATAAGCATTCCATGTTGTTGAAACTAGACAAAGAAAGTTCAATATTATTACTAAAGGAGTATAACGAAGAAATGTTGTTTCATACCTCATCAATTGGGGGTGATGTGTTATTGATGACGGCAGTGTTATCTGGCAGTAGCATGGAGTTAAAGTGTTATAATATTGACACAATGTCAGAGGTTGAAGACATGAGACAGACTTTATCATTCCATGAACACCATGGCAAACCCGTCAATATATACACTCATTTCTTCTTACGTAAAGATAATACAATTGGTTTCAGAGTTTTGACAACATTTGAAGATTATTCTGTCATATTGTCACAACATACTGGCCGTGTATTTTGGACACGGGAAGAATCGTTAGCTGCCATTACAGCTGTCGAGATGGTTGAGTTGCCAGTTTCACCACAACAAGCCAATTTTGAAGCTTTGCAGAGAGAGTTTGGTTATCACCATGATGGTAAGAGAAATATTCTGGGTGGAAAGTTGTAGAAGTTCAACCCATTCAGTTGCATTGCACCCTAATGTACCTTACTTTAGGCGTAAAAAAAAACCCCTGTGGTTCCCGACCGACCCTATTTTTTCTGCCGACCCTATTATTTTTTCAACGCAATTGACCGTGCAGGGCGCGAAATAATGGTCGGCGGTCAAGGTGACCGGCCAACTCAATTTTAGCCCGGACATACCGAATTTCTGGCCGGTCAAATTATTCAGCTTAAAGCGAAGCCTAGTAAGGTATACTCCTAAAAATGTGAAAATTTTCCCAGTATAGCAGTGCAAAAAGCCTTACTGTAATCAGTAATTAAAAATACCTTCACATAAAACAGCTTGTACTGGGCTAAAAGCATGGTCTTAGCTCTTAAGCCAAAGGCATGCCCATGGGCTTTGTGACGTACTGCGTACGAAAACTGGTGTACATTGAAGTTGTTTTCCTGCAAAATATTCGACAACATGCATGTTATGGTTCTTAATTATAATACTGTAATTGACCACTTTATTTTGATTGTTATTATAAAATGAAGATTAGTTTGTTCTTTTACTGAAAGTGACCGGTCAAAATGACCGGCAAGGTAAGAATTTGACCGGACAACTCCGCATTCTGGCCGGACATTGTCCGTTGACCGGCCGTTATTTCACGCCCTGCCGTTATTTCACGCCCTGCCGTGCCACCCTATTTTCTCCGGGTGGTTGCGGGCTGCTGCCAAAATGGTGTCTGTTGTCACACTAATGCATGAGTCAATTCCTGGAGTAACCATCCCCCCCCCCCCATGGGACACCCCCGGGAATTTGTCCGATAGACAGTTCACAGGGGTCGGGAATTTGCCTTTCATATATGTGCACGGGGGCCGGGTATTGGAGGACCCCGGGGATTTGACAAATGGTTGCCCATAATCCCACCCACAAATTTTAAGGCAGCAAAATCTAGTTTCAGGCACGTGTGTGGGCGCACTGATCGTATTTTGCGCCCTTGTGGTCAAGGTGGCGTGAAATTTATTGTAAGAATAAGCGAAAATTATACCCTATGCCATGCAAATTTAAATACAACTATTAAAGGTTTATGTTTTATAATATTCCATAGCAGTTTAATACTATAATGTTATTAAATGACTATGATTATATGCCATTAAAAGTTTAATTAACGTTTACAGTCGATTTCACGAAACTTTGACCACAAATTTTCCGAACTTCGTTGCGAAGTTCACAAGATTGTTGCGAAGTTCATGATGAGATTCACAAACCAGTTTGTAAGCTACGCATTTGATTGGCTTCTTTTACTTCACGGACCAATCAGGGACTTTGTTTACAAATTGGCTTGTGAATTCCAATATGAGCTTGCGAATTCCTTATATTCGTTGCGAAGTTCGGAACATTTGTGGTCAAAGTTTCGGGAAATCGACTGTCAAATCGTCCCCGGGGTGGGGCATTTTCCACTCTCGGCTTGCCCAAGGGCCGTGCATTAGTCTTCAAGTTGTGTCCTGGCACTCGGGCATTTACACTATCATAACCAATCAAATCAAATGCCCGGGTGTGTTCCCGGGGAGGGGGGGGGGTGGTTACTCCTGGAATTGACTTGTGCATAATTATTGAAAAAAAACATGAAAAAAATATTTAAAAAAAAATTATCTCCGACCTACCGATCCTAATTTTTTCGCGATATGAAACCGGAACCACGGGTATTTTTTTACGGCTTATTATTTTACTCTGTCTATTTTACTCATTGTCTATTTTACAATTTAACTTGTCAAGGCATGAGACAATGTCTTGATATTATATGTTTTTGATGGTTTTTTTTTTACTCTTCAGTCACAATCTCCCAAGATCGATCCTTTTCTGAAGTCAATATCCTCACTTCAGTGCATGCTACCAAGACAAAAATACCACTGTCCGATTCAGTAAAACAATATCTCCTAATTCCTAATGTGTGTTTTATTAAAATTTAAAATAATAGCGATTTATGACCTTTGAGACATCATGAAGTAAATGTCATAGTTCAATAAGTATTTTTTCAAACAGTGTATTAATTAGTAAGACATACATGTCGCCGAATATAATTTCGGCCTCTTTTGACATATCTTTTTCAATGTTATTTTCAAGCTTGTATCTTCAATTTTTCATGAATTTTCAACAAAAAGTAGCATGTTTGCATTCTAGCTAGGAGCCTGGAAACACTGGAAATCGGTTCTACAGGTCAAAGTACTTCCTGGATATCGAGGCCGGCGAGAGCCAACCACAGGCCCTGGGACAAAATGACCTGGGACAAAATTTGCCCCCTCTTTTCCCTCCCCCTCTCGCCGGCCTTGCTGGATATACTGGATATAACCTGAAATTCAGGCCCTAATTTAGAATAGGGCCTGACACAAAACCTGTCTAGACCATGGGATGCCCACATGTTATTATTAGACACAGCATGCAATATGACTGTAGATTGTAGAAGTGTTGTAGATTTCATAATTTTCACTGCACAAAAAAATTATATTCTCATGAACTGATGAACATGTCCACAGAGTGTGCATTTTGCTTTTTAATTAAACTTGAAAATTCAAGGTACTTTTATATAATAAAAAGTTCAGTTTCTCTATTTAACCGAACAGCAAACAAAGATTTATTAATTAGTCAGTTCTATGCACGGCTTGAATGCCAAGCTTTGTAACGGGCTATAAACAACAGCAACAACGAAATTCTCAATCGTACCACAAAGAAGGCGATGTAGCTCAGAAAACAACGCCGGTAGAACCTGATAAATAAGACTTTTGCCTCGACTTTTGCCGAAGCCAGTTGGCGCAGAACAGCAAAGACATCTTAGTTGTCAACAACAAGCTTTCGAATACATGACTAGTTTTGCTGTTGCTTCAGCGTCATGTGACCAAACTTCGTCAAAAATTTTGATAAAGCCCTTTCAAAATACTGTTTGTTTGATCTATTTTCTGCCATAAAGCACAAATTCGAAGAAATTCGATAATGGAATTTGATACAAGCATTTGACCTTAATTGTCGCCTTGACCGAGCTATTTTTAAAACTATTGTTTATGTGAACTTGCAACCAATCATAATCTTTCATGATGCTGATCAACCAATCAGTTTTCCCGTCCACCAGATGGACGGGAATCCCACGGTTTAGATAGGTTTTGTGTCAGGCCCTATTCTAAATTAGGGCCTGAATTTCAGGTTATCCTGGATAGTGCTTTGCACGTGCATCCAGCTATTGCTTCTCTTTGTATGGCCCAGTATACACGTAGCGTGCAAGTAAAAACCTGATATTTTGAAAACATAAAAATAAATAGTTCTACTCACTGTATTCAAACAAAACTTTCTACATAAAAGCACTTGAATACAAGGAATATTTTACTCCAATCAACTTGGGGCAAATAACAAAAAGTTTGGAAGATGCTTGTGTGATGTTAGTCTGAGTGTATATCCACACCGGGCAGGTTTGAAAAATATGCTTGGCCACGGTGGGAATCGAGCCAGCCTAGCATTGGGCTAGTATTCCAAAGGTTGTAGGTTCGATTCCCACCGTGGCCAGGCATATTTTTCAAGCCTGCCCGGTGTGGATATACACTCAGAGTAACATCACACAAGCATCTTATTCACCTGAGTACATTACACCAACACAGCAAATATCACGAGTTTGGAAGATATTCAAGTTTTTCTCAAAGTAAAATAACAGAATGTTTGGTCAAGGTGATTAAATGTAGGATTGTTTCAATTGGTTTATGTAATGTTTTGATGGCATTCAAACCCCCCATTGAAAACATTATTTTGTAAGGATTTCAAAGGTGTTTTTCATTTTAAAGGGGGGTAAATACTTGCTGAGATATTTATATATACTGTATAAACAATTGAATCGTAAAATCAAATTTGCACTTTACTGGAGAACTGCATTTTTGTATACAGTATATAGTGTGTATCTAGATGGGTAAATAATGTACAGTAACATTTGTTCACCATCTGAGACCTACTGTACAAACTGAACAGTTAGATTTAGTGTCTGTAAGGTTATCAGAAGTTTATGGTGAAGCTTATACAGATCAATGATACAGAATACTGTAGTGCAAGGATTCCCGAGCTGAGCAACCAATCAAAAACTGCATGAAAAATACTATCTGCTCCCAACTACAGTATATGCTAAAGATATTTCTATCTACTGTAGGAAAAGTATTTTCAATGTTTTCCCAACGTATCCAAGCACAGTTTCAACAGTTCCAAGCATTTGTAGCAAGCTTGAATATTGAACGAGATGAAAATCGTGGAGACAACGAGGATGAGAAGAATGGAGAGGAACTAACGAGAGATCAGTTTGATTTGAGGAAAATTATTGTCGTCATTACTGCATCTGGAAAGCTGTTTGGCCTTGATACAATAGGTAAGTGTTAAGCCTGGTTCACACTGTCAAAGTTTCTGTGATCATAGTAGGAATTTGGCATACAGTACCACGCACATCTATCATCTATTTTCGTCCAATGTTTATCGTCTCTGCGTCTATTGTCTCCATGTCTAATGCTTCTGCGTCTAACGTCTAATATATTAATTAATGTTCTGAATTTCTTTACTGAAATACATGGTAGCTTTATCTGTTAATCCTTGTTAAATAAAATATTATTATTATTATTATTACCTCCAACCGGAAATTTGAAGCCAAACTTGAAGACCAGTCCCAGTCTTCTCACACGTGTAAAGAGCGCTCAATCAGTCTATCATGATATAAACATGCATGTCTTGACCTCCAAGAGAGGTAGCATTCCAGTTATTTTCATTTCAATGGCTCTGAGAGACTCTGGAATGTTGATAGATAAATTTCTGTTTCAGATGGATCTATTATTTGGCAGCGGTTTATTCCAGACATGGCAGCATTTGTTCCAAATGGAAAGTCATTGTTATATATGCAGCGAAGTGTTGCACATTTCCCTCTTGCACCTCAGTGTGTTGTTGTAGGAAGATCACGGTCAGGTCAAGGTTCTGTCTTGTTTACATTCAATCCTTCCACTGGCAAGTCTATTGATCCAGATACACCCCATGGAGTGAGATTACCATACAATATTCTGCAGACGACGTTGTTACCTTATCATGGTAAGATTTAAGAAGATATAAACTCAACAGTCTGTGCCAGCGTAGGTAGTGACAGAAAACTTCAGCTGGATAGAGATTCAACTACCTGAATTTTCTTGTATTTTTTCATCCCTATCCATATGCAGTTTTCAGATATAAGAAGACCATATTTCAAACATGATAGTCTCGTGTAAGTACATGTACTACTGACTACTGTGCAATAAGTTGTCATGGTTTATCTGTGAATTACAGTAGTTATCCAATCTACAGTAGTTACCCAATCTACAGTAGTTACCCAGTGACCCAATCTCCGACGGAAAAGGACATCTTCGAAATCGAAGAGTCATCCATTATTATGATGTCCCAGTAGTTACCTGAAAAAGAGATGTCAAATGTGGTAGTGTGCTGGTAGTACACTACTCTCTACATTAAGCAACTGTGGTTTCTGTCTCTCCTTCTGTCGAATGTGTGTTCAGTGTATGTAGCATTCTTCAATAATGCTAATTGATTTTTATGTAATTTTTTAGATGATAAGTTTTCAAAACTCCTGCTAGTGGTTGATACATCTCTAAATGTTCACATCTTTCCAAACAATGAGAAAGCTACGTCGATTATTAAAGCCAGATCAAAATCAATCTTCATTCATATCGCTGGTAAGACTGAGCTGAAAGGTTATGTTGTAAGTGCTGAGTCAGAGCAATTAAGACTTGAAGATGTTTGGAAGGTCCAGTTGTCACCTTCTGAACACATCATTGATCAAACTGGTAAGCAATTAATGTAATGTACTCTACTGTACTTTCATATTATTATGACACTGCAGAGGACAATGAACTGAATGAAGAATTTGTTGCCTCGAGCAGTCGAGCGGGATTCAAATTTTGGGTTTCTAGACTCGAATCTTAGCGAGTCTTATCCAATTTATGTGCACGATTATGAAATATTTCCGCGACGACCTAACCCTTGTCGTGGAGGACGCGCGGTGTTTCAATCCTAATTCGGCAGAACGATCCCCAGAGAGATGAAAATATGAAAGAGAATAATACAGGTCTTACAAAATATCGGTCAGAGAACCATCTGACAAAATGTTCAGTGATTTTGAGTTTGGGTCGGACATATACTATGTATTGTGATGTCCGATGACTTTGAGTTCACTTTGACTTGGGAATAAGTATGAATGCAGACACAAATTAATATCATGCATCACAATTTGCGAAAGTCATTTGAATCTTGGCAATGAATTTCCGAACCCCTTCACTTGATCACACATTTCCGGTTCACTTTTTAATACTCTGAATCTCCATTTAACATGCGAGCCTCTAGTCCTGGACTAGGTTACATTTGGATTGACGTTGGACAAAATTACAATTACTGTACTGTAGGTCGGACACCAATTCACTTGGGTCGGACAAACTATAAACGTCACTTTCATTTAAGTCAGACAGAATGTCCAGTGTTTTCCTCTCTACGAGGTGCATGGTTACTCACCATTGAAAACATTGTTCCCAAAACATTGCCAGTTTCCCCAACCCTCGAGAAATTGTTGCAGAAACATTTACCATGCATCACATTATGCAGAAACATTTGCCAACGTAATATGTCTCCCGAATAATTGTATGTACAGTTGAGTATTTAACAATTGTTGACTGGAACTGAGGAAAACAGGCGAGTGTGCGCAGAACATATTAGGGAGCTTAAATTAAGATGCACCAAGTCTGCGTGTATATTAAAATAGTCCATTACTAAGAATACAGTCTGTCTAACATGTCTTTCTTTAATTTATTCGTTCAATGAGATGCAAGAAAATATTAACTTCAACACTTGGTATATAATTATTTTTATTGAGCAATTTAATCTACAAGCAAATATTTGTAATAAATCTTTCCTGGTTAATCCATCTTGGATTCTTGGAGTTTGAGAAACATGGCGTAAAATGTTTTCGCAACAATATTTCTTGTTTGTGGTGTGACGTACTCAGGTGAAGTATATTTAAGATGCCGCTCTGTCATTGTGTCCACACCAGGCAAGATGAAAATTTTACTTCATCGCGGTGGGAATCGAACCTGCAACCTTTGGTTTGCTAGTCCATCTCCTAGCCCAGTTGGTAGAGCAATGGACCAGTAAACCAAAGGTCGCGAGTTCTTGGGCCTTATTTCAAGGAAAAAATCGGTACGAAATTGTTGTGAATGGCGTGGACAACCCCAGAGTATCATAATCACAACCTCTTCTGTATTTTCACAGTTTTCAAGAGACTTGGTGAACATGTGCATTCTCCTGGTCGTGTTTTGGGTGATCGACGAGTCTTGTATAAATATTTAAATCCAAATTTGATGGCAGTGGTAACAAGATCTCCTTCAGACTCAAAACCCGCAGTTCATATTTTCCTCATTGACTCTGTCACAGGTATGATGATAATAATAATTGATTTACTTATAGTGAGCCTGCATGTCCGTATCGTGGGTTTTCCTGGTGCTTCCAAAACGAAGAAACACGTCACGTTTTGGTACGATACGTTTGGAGTGGAAAACAAGCTGCACCGTTTTATTTTTTATACGAAAACGTTTAAATCCATTTATATATTATTTCTGAAATATCTAAATGTACATATTAAAGGACAGTATTTACAGTACTTGCATTAGATTTAAATATTCCTGCGTTGTTTCGTTTCCAGGAAACATTGTCCATCATTGCCGCCACAGGAACGCGCAGGGACCTCTACAAGTTGTTCATTCTGAGAACTGGATTATTTATAATTATTACAACACGAAGGCAAGACGTCATGAGTTGGCTGTGCTTGAGTTGTATGAGGGATATCAGGAGCGTAATAGTACCGCATTCTCCTCTCTTGATCCCCCTATATCGCCTATGATACTACAACAATCCTATATCTTCCCTTTCAATGTTGATTCAATGACCACCACAATCACAAATGCCGGTATTACAAAGAAAACGCTTTTGATTGGTGTAAGTTTGGGCTATGTTTATTCCTTACCAAAGATGTTTCTTGATCCAAGAAGGAATTTAACAGATTCTCCCAAGTTGAGAGAAGAAGGTTTGATGCCATATATACCAGAGTTGCCTTTGATTACAACATCTTTCATTAACTACAACCAAACCGGTAAGTAGATGCATACTCGACTATTATATAGTTTTACAAATAATGAATGTTTATGAGTGCAATGGTAAAAATGTTTCCATGAGATGGAATTTTGAGTTGCACAGCCTATTTTTTAGCAAATTATATTTAAAATACGTGACTTACAAAGAAGAATAAGTGATTTTCCAATAGGCCATATGTATTAAAAAATATTACAATATAAGAAAATTCCAGTAATAAATTTATTTCACCTATATACCCCCGAAAGATCCGGAGTTATACCCTCTTCCAAGCTAAATTACGTTTATAAGGATTGAATAGTTTCCGATCTTTGAGATCGTAGGGTAAATTATTGCGAGCCACCACACCGCTGTAGCGGAGATAGATGAATTGCGTTTGTCTCGTTTGGTAAATCTGATCAGTTCTTTGGAATACATTTGACAAGAGGCGCCCTTTAATAACTCATGATATACTGAATGCAAATCCCAGTCGAATTGCTTCTTACTCGAGGGATGACGTCATTGGGTAACTAGGTGGAGAATGGAGATACTCGTGTGGTTGTATATACTGGCGATACTCTTATTTAAATCCAGATTACGCTAGTTATTTATCACATGCAGGAGTATCTTCACCTTGATGACAGATGATGTCATGGAAAAGATAAGCAGAATTAACGTCGACATTTTGAGCAAAAGGGCCTTGGTCTTGAAGTGGGCGTTTACCTACACTGGCACTGGCAGTCCTCTCTCGCCACTTTGCGACATCTGATCAGCCATGACGAAGACACTAGACTGGAGTGTCGAAAGGTTGTGTCGTGAGTCGTTAGTGCAATTCCACTGGGCTTTACATTCATTTATCTTCAAACCAGTGAAGCAATTAAGCGAACACATGACTGTTGTCAGGCTTGTTAAAATCCAGGGTTTAAGCTGCACCAATAGTTTTCTAATTTACTAACAACATTGTTAGCTATAATTGTTTTGTATTCAAATCACCATGTATTAAAATCTTCCGAATATACAGTATTACAGTTCATATAATAACTACAGTGAAACACGCAATTTGATTGGTCAACAGCCGTGCAGGATCAGACAATCCTGCACGGGAAATTCTGAACAGAAATTCTTGCACATAATTTTACAAATATACTCTCATTGTAACGTTTCATTGTACGATACCTTTCGACTTTGAAGTAAATGCAATTATTGAGACGTTTGTTTAGTTGTATGAATAAATTTCTGATCGATACATTGCTGTTCACCAAGTAGCAACGCGTAGCGTTGAAATTCATCAGACCATGGCAAGTACAACATCTCTCGCTTCAAAGTTCAAATGCTTCGCAATCTTCAAGTATTCAGGTCGAGAATCTTCAAAACTACTTTGGCTCTCTGTTTAGCGGGTTTTCCATTTCAAATTTCGTATATTTTATCGAAAAAGTCTGTATTTTCGCCGTATATTTTCGCGAATTTGCGATCAAATTCTGTTCACATTTGTTGTTGTTTTCAATAGCGTGGAGTAGCGATTCTCCGATTGGTTAATTCAAGATTGTTGTAAGAACGGCACATTTCATCAGTAATTTTAATCAAGTTAACCGTCGTTTCACTGTAGTCATTTTATAAAACAATTACCAAATAGTTTTTTCGTGCAGGATAGCATGATCCATGCACTTTGGATGTTACTCGACTTTCGGACAGCGTAAAAATACACTCGCCTACGGCTCGTGTATTTTCACGCTTTTCGGAAAGTCTCGCAACATCCCGCGTGCATGGATCACGCTATCCTGCACGGAAAACCATTCGGTATTCCTTTAATGTTGGAGTGTTTGGAGGCAAATTAGGTTTTCAGGTAGATGTATCCATCAATCCGAAGCTTTCTGAAAATATTTCGCCAAATGTAGTTTTTATTCGCATTTGGCGAACAAGAGTTTTTAAACTCTGAAAACCATGTGTTAGTGTATCAAGCTTTTACTATTGTTGTTTATTGATTTGAAAACTATAATTTTGTTTAAATTTATTTCAGTGAGCAACATCGAAGGCATCTACACGTCACCCGCAGGACTGGAATCAACATGCCTGGTATTTACGTATGGTTTAGATCTTTATTTTACTCGGGTCACTCCTTCACGTTTATTTGACGTGCTGAAGGAAGATTTTGACTATTGGTTTATCTCAGTCACGCTGATTATCTTAGCCATGGTCACTCTAGTATCTGCTAGGTTGGCGTCAGTTAAAGTTTTGAGACAAATCTGGCGTTAGATGAATATCTTGCTAATATTTGTAATATTTTCTTCAATTTTTTAATCACGTTTTTCAAGATCATGTTTCAGGTGCCAAATAAGCAAGACGGGCCAACTGTTCCTCGGACTCCCGCAGGTCTCCCTTTTCAAAAAAAACAAGGAAAGTATTACAGTACATATTACAGTTACAGTATACATGTACCTACTACTATAGCACAATATTACAGTTACAGTATACATGTACCTACTGTGAACTAAACAACAACCATATTTCAAAGTTTGGACTGTGTTAAATTAGTTTGTATAAATAAGTTCCTTGTATGTTTGCATGACGTGATAAGTACTATTTAAAACACGAACAAGAGTGCTTTATCAGATATATAAAATCAGAAGTCGACGGCCAACTGTAACGATCTCGACTCATAGATCGAAAGCTTTGCAAAGTGTTTCCACAAAACAAGACAAAGTCATCATGGGAGTTTTCTATGATATCTTTATTCAGTGTTACTATTGTTGAGTGGATGCAAAGTCGGTTTGATAAACATCCACACTCCTCCCAATGACATTCCCTGTTTCCAATTGGGAGGGGGGGGGGGGCTATTTCTTGCGATCATATACAATTGTATTAACTAAAAATCAAGTGGCTTTACAATAGTAAGGCAAGTAACGTTTTAAAAAAGTCAACGGATATGGTTTCCACGATTGTAGTTTTAATCCCAGCGGCCAGCTCTGATCCCAACACTAATCATAACCTTCTAATCCTAATACCATGATACTAATCCTAACCGTAAAGCTAGCTCTAATCCTAACTCCATAATCCTAACTGTAATCTTTATTCTAACCCCAATCATAATCCAATACTTACAGTAACAATGCACCATGTGATATCGAGATATTTCTCTGAAAAGTCACTGAAAATCTCTGTATCAGTGTACATTGCCATCTTGTTTATTTGGCACGAATAAGAATGCTTGCATGTTCCTCGTGACATTTAACAAAACATTGTTTTTACAAACTTGATAACAAGAAATACACACTGACATAAGTATTTTAATGTAGCATAGCGATGTTGAAAGCCCACCTTGTACATGCGTCGTGCGTTTTGCTGTAAGTAGGGCTGGAGGGTCTAAACCTCGGGTTGCAGGTTGGTGCAGGTTAAATTGGTTAATGTTAATAATGAAGATGGAGTTTGGCTATTTTCATGTTGTTTTAGACAATAAAATTTGAACCTCGCCCGCATCCAATCCTGACGTGCCTACTTGCAACCTGCAGTTTGATTGTCCGATGTAGGGCTCGTAAAGCCTCGTTAGGATCTATGTTCTTTCGTATTATGCGTTTATTGTGTATTTTGGATATTATTTGATTAAAATCAATATAATTTGCTATCAATGACACCTTTTATATTAAATAGTTACTGAAGAACGTTATAGTATAATCTTGTGAAAAAACTGCGGTTTGATAGGGATATAACTACCTGAAAAATACGTAGAAAAGGTAGTAATTTTTTGGCTACTAATTTGCCGACGAAGGGCTTTCGCTCGAAGTTCGGCTTGTATTTTTCAGGTGGTCGTATCTCCATCAATCTGCAGCTTTCTGATTATCGTCATTCTTTACACTGGCACAGACCGTTCGAGATATTAGTGAGCTTAAGCAAGTGACGTTTTTGACACGGACCGGAAGTAAAGTTGACGTTTTTCACCAATCACAGCCCTTGACCATACAAATAATAGATATAGAATGCCTACTCCTATCTTTCTCAGTGAAAAATTTGTCTCCACAAAATGGCGGATTTACTGTATAAGGGCATTTTGGTTGGTCCCAGACTCCTGAGGCAGGAAATTTCGCGCGGTTGCAGAGAGTGCGAATTGTAAATTTCAACTGCAAAGTTTGCAAAAAATTTTATATCGAGACTTAAAATGAAAAAAAAGTTTTACAAAGAAGAAAAAGTGTCTAAAAACCCATTCTAGTGGGCTTTTTTACGAAAAGCAACAGTTCTGAACAGAATATATACAGAAATCGTCGTTTAAAAATAAATTTTCAACACTGTTGTGCAAGCCAAAACAAAACCCGAAAGATCAAGACAAACTCAAATTCAAACTCAACAAATATTTCTACAAATATTTCAACTCTTTTATAATATAAATGAAGTTCAATAATCTTTTTAAACTTACTGTACACAATTACTTTTCATATTTTTTTACGTTGCTTGAGCTCGGAGGCAACGCTTTTGAAACCATAGTTTTCGACGATTATTTAAACAATTTACAGTTTATCGACAACTAAATATTTTTGTTTCAAGAACATGTGAAAGTGAGTGAAACACTTCGTTTACATTGAAGAAAAACGAAACCCGCCGACGAAGAAAGAACTATTATTTTGTAATCTTATAAAATATTAGCAAAACAGTGAAGTAGTGACGTTCAGAGAATGCAAAAATGGTTTATGAGTAAATTATATTTACGTGAAACTACTTTGTTTTTACAAGGCTGCACTATTTTCACTGTTTTTGTAACTGCACAATTGCTTTGACAGTTTGTGCCTTCAAAGAACTCAAAATCTATCCCCAAACTACACATTGGACAACAAGACAAACGTTTTGACGATGAAAACGTAGTTTTAGCTTTGTTTATATTTTGTATTTGGCACTCCTAGGCAAATTTAAAATGGCGGATTTATAAGGGCACGCATGAGAAAAAGTGGAGACATGATTCGTGATCAAGTACGCATTCTATATCTATTATTTCTATGCCCTTGACCTAGTCTTCTGACGTTACTCATGCCGTTCGTGTTGTCAAAAACGTCACTTGCTTAAGCTCACTATTATCTCCTAAAGCACTTGTTAATCTTTTTTCTTAAAATGCATTGACTTGAATAATGTAAGTTTCAGCGCGCGAACGAAGGCGAGTTCGTTTAGTTTTGTCATTTTTAAGGTTAAATAATAATATGTGATATTTTTGTTCACTTTTGTTTAGTTTTGTTTATTCTATTCAGTGGCAATTTATATTCTGCTCAGAATTTCTCTTTTCAGAAGATTTACTTGGACAGCACGATGGCCTACTTCCCAGTCCAATGTACCTATGTACAAACTCCTATTTCCCGCTCTATACGTCGTGTTATTTGCACCATAGTATATCGTAGGGAGCAAGTTTAGCATTGTCCCAGCTCGTATAGAACGTTGAGAACACGTACTGATACAGCTGGTATATAACAACAAGTCAACAACTCTACTAATGTGGTTTTTGTACTTCAATATTCTCTCTTATGCGTTTTGGTAAATGTTGTACTGTGTTTGACTCATATATTAATACTCTGCGTTCTTTTCAGCGGCTACCTCATGTAATTCCTTCAAATGTAGTTGTATGCATTACATTAGTTAACATAAGTAGATACACTAGAGATCAAAATGTTTTCGTACTGCTGGAAGGATATTCTACGTGGTTATGATAGCATTACAATACCCTTCTTCCCCTTCTAAAGTTACACATTACAAAAAAGTAATTGGAAGATATTACGGAGAATTCCTACTATTGTGCAGTAATAACGTGTATAAGTTATGCTCAGTTCCTGGTCACGGTTGCTGTTTCCATTTTGTAGTAGCCCTCCGGCCCCTACATTTTTTTTTGTAAATCGTCACTGAAATTATCATTGCCCGTCCCAGTTTCCTCGTAGGTATAATTGCGCTTAATTAAAGGACGTCACGAATGTGTAAGAAATTATTAATTATAATTGATTGCATGGAATAAATTAAGAGCTCAATTAAGAATCTGATTAGTTCTAATTAGCACGCATTCTGAAAAGAACACTTGTTCATTTCACGTGAATTCAAATCTTAACCATGGCATTCTTTGCTCAACGTCGCTTGCTGATGACTGCAGGAGGTGTCCTAGCTGCTGGAAGTATGGTTGCCACGGGGTTTCTTCATGGTCAAAATTTACAAGCTGCGAAAATTCGAAAAGTTTCTCCCTCGTTGGACTACCCAGATCTTCGAGAACACAATAACCTCATGGCCAAACATTTGACTCCAAGGATCTACTCCAAACTTCGCGATATGTCCACAAAATCTGGATTCTCCTTGGATAAAGCTATCCAGACTGGAGTAGATAACCCAGGACATCCATTTATCTCAACTGTTGGTATTGTCGCCGGAGATGAAGAGAGCTACGAAGTATTTGCTGATTTATTCGATCCCATTATTGAGGAAAGACACAATGGTTTCAAGAAAACCGATACACACAAGACAGATTTGGATTATCATAAGTTGAAAGGCGGAATTTTGGATGACAAATATGTGTTATCTTCACGCGTGCGCACTGGACGTTCAATCCGGGGATTTTCTTTACCACCTCACTGTTCACGTGGTGAACGAAGGGAAGTTGAGAGAATTGTGAATGATGCATTGGAAGGATTGAAAGGTTAGTTGTCAATGTTTTGTTAATGTGCAGTAATGCACTTGCGACAAAGCTGGTTTTCCCACATGTTAATGAAATATGTTTTTGTCCTAACTTACCAACATGAGATAACATTCCTAAACATTTCTTAGTATGCGAAACCAGTTTTTTACAAGTTGCAACAATTTTGTTGGTCCTATTATTTTATTTTAAAGATTCTACTTGGATTGCACCTATAAGCATTTTAGTTTTATTTCATGCCTGTAATATGTTAGTGTGCAAAATATGCAACGCCTTTATAACTGATACAACCTGTTAAGTCTGGGTTACAAAGAACTCCTGAGGTTACCGCGTTTCGTATGCAACATCACTTTGTCTTTCTACACTTGTTATTCATATTTAAACATAAAGTCACCTAAAATGACCTAAAATGGTCAATTTGCAAACTACACTGTACTAAGAAGTTGAGGTGGTCTATTGCACCCTTTTTCATTCAGTCACGTCTTTAATATGTCACTGTTTCACCGCGGCATTGCGCAGTCAATATGACTGTGTGTTAGGCTAGAAAATATATGACACGTGTCCTCAATCTTCGTTAATTAAAACGCTCAGGAATGTTCAAACATTTCTAATTTACGGCATGGATCCTTGCCTTGCATAAGCACAATATTTGGTTACAATTCAGTGATCGGAAATCAATTCCATTATCTCTTCATTGTTTTGAACATCCTTCTGACGTTCTGTTCTCCATGGAATCACTGTTTTGACTATTTACAGTATATGTGTATGTTATTTCGCAGCCCGTGTACATGTGTCAGTTTGGTTACTGTACTTGGGGGTTGAATTTTGGATTGAATGCGCATTAACGTCGATGGTTGGCGAGTTTGAAAGTACTGAGCGCGATCTTGGAAAAAAGATGTAGGAACCTTCGAAAGTGTCCTCTGATCTTTCCATATTTACCAAAAAATAAAAATAAGTTTTGTTTCCAAATTGTCAGTGATTTTTATTGGGGAAAGAAACTCGGGAACATGTCTTAGATTTAGAAGCATTTGTTAGCTACTGTTGGGCAATTACACGATGATCCTTAGTTGCAGTTGAAATTGTGAACGACGCAGGTCGAGTCGAAGGTTTACTGCATATAGGGCACCTTTGCCTGACACTGACTATTATTATTTAATTTATAAATCCAGTAACCAGTATAAATTATTGCAATTATAGATTATACTAGGAGTTACTATCGCAAGGGAAGTGCTGCCTTACGACCAAAGCCCTGGGGATTGATTATACCAATAAACTTCATTTATTTAAATTGCCTTAAACACACTGTATGTATGAATTTATTTTGTTTGAAAAATATTGAAAGTACAACATGCTACAATTACTGTAAAGTACTAAAGTGTACTTTGGATTTTCATATTTGCATGTATGCGCATGATTGTTGGTACCAATGTTTTAAGCCATCTTCACTTGTCAAAATGTCTAGACGAACACGATTAGGAATGTATACAATATGTCTTTTAACATGATATAACTACTTTGTTGCAAGTTTTCATATTCTTTCCATTTTCCATTTGGTAAACAATTTGGTAAACAAGTGTTACTATTGGTTCTTTGTCCAGTATGTAGATGCTTCATATTTATTTAGCATGTGCCATCATTATTGTCCAATAACTTGTTAGGTTACTGTACATATAAAGGTATGTACTATCTTGATATACAATGTTCATGACATCCATATGGTAGATTGGAAACAAGTACAGTAATTTAATAATACATGGCAGATTCCATCCCATTGCATTAGATGTAATATATCCATACAATCTTGTAAATCAGCATTCTTGTTTTAATAGAAATACATTTCTGTTAACCCAGAAGCTCCCATCCATTTTCATGCGATGTACTGTAATATATCCATATTATATTTTGAATTTAACAACCACTTGGCTTCATCCAGCAGCTAGTATGGCACCATTCACATCCATCAGAATTGCAAAACTATAGAAAAAAATAATTGGTAGCATGAGAAATTTACTTAGAAACATACTAGCACACAAGTGAATGAAAATAAAAGTAGGGCAAGGGAGGGGTTAAACAAACAAAAAACTTACCATTCTTTTATCTTGCAAATCATAATATTTTCATACATACAGTGATAACAAGGAGTAAATTAAATGATTTAAAAGGGTATATATACTGTGGTCAAAGTACACACCAAAATATAACTGGGATCCATATATGAAATCCCTATCTTATTCAACCTCAATAGTTTGTTGTTCTAAATGCACTGCTAGTAGCCTGTGCTAATTGATCTAGCCTGTTTTCTTCTTCAAGCCTATACTGTAAGTTAGCTGATGATTTCAAGCTTGTTAATCGTTCATACGTCATTGGTTCAATGACACAAGATGCAAGTGATTTTACTCTGCTAATAGCAACATAAGAAACTCCAGCAGTTCTTTCAGATTTGCCAATATCTATCCATGCTTTTGGAAGTGTAAGTCCTTGGCTCTTGTGTATTGTTAGAGCCCAAGCAAGCCTAAGAGGTAACTGTTGTCTCTCATGGAAACCTATTTCTGTCTGTGATGTGACAGTGATTGGATATATTGGGATACACAATGGTTGGTTTGCATTAAAAACAGGTCCTCTATAGTTTTCAAATTCTACTATTACCGCAATAGGTAAGTCAGGTGGTTGATGGTTGTTCTGATATATAATATCAACAACTGTTCCAGTAGCCCCATTGCAGAGGCCAACACTTGACCACAAATTCATGGTTAACATGACCCTAGCACCTTTTGCTACAAACACAACAGGTTCTAACCCAGACATATCATCTGGGGATATCTTTTTTGCCAATGCTGATGAATGGCGAGCATTAATATGAGCAATTGGATGCTCAAGTTTTGTTAGCTGGTCATGATTGTAATTAGCAACTTGTTCATTGCTATAAAAGAGTCTAGTAGAATCTTCAAAGTCACATAAATTAGTGACATTCGATGGTTGACGTGTCAGAAGTAACTTCCAGTCATCAACTGTTGATTCACCTTTGCGAAGTCGTAATAACAAATCTCTGAACTGTACTTGCTCAGATGTCATACCTTGCACACGTTGATTTACAGTGAGTTTAACAACTTTGTCAAACATATGATATGCTTGATAACCTTGTTCACCAACAGCGTTTGATGGTTTAGCATGGTAAAGAGGTTTATCTGCCACTGGTGGCAATTGACCTGGATCACCAGTTAAAATCAATGACTTTCCTCCAAAAACTTTGTCATTATAACCAGTTGCTTGTTTGCAACGCTTGTCTATCCAACCAAATGTAACTTGGCCAAGCATGGAGTATTCATCAATAATGATGTATCCAATGTTATTAACACTCTCTTGTAACCTACACAAGCTTTGTCCTGTTAGGTCTTTCTTACCTCTTGATCCTATAGGTAACTTTAATAGAGAATGCACAGTTACACCTCTAATGTTATAAGCTGCTTTACCTGTGGTAGCAGTAACAGCACATTTATTTTGCAAAAGATTTCTAATAGCATTAATAAGGTAACTTTTACCAGTTCCTGCAACACCATTTATAATGAGACATAATGGCTCCATCTCGGATGATGTATCATCAAAATGAGACTTAACAATATTATAAGCAAGTTTTTGCATTTCACTAAAACTGTTGATGTCAACAACATCATATTGCTCATCAATAGTGTATTCCTCTTTGTTTGTTTTTATCCATTTTGGCATTTCTTGGATTTGTTGTTCTGAATAATTGGCTCTGTCAAGATGCCAGTCATATGTGGACTCTGGTGTTTGTTCGGAGTTGTCAAAAGGAGTATTGAGGTCTGATAATATCATCCACTCTTCTCTAGTTGTCTCCTGTTCTTCAGAAGGTTCATCTTCTGATTCTTGATTTTGAATGACAGCTTGTAATTTATCAAACCAGTCTGGGACATTAGATTGCCCATAAGGTGTTTGTAAAAATTCATGCCAACAATTGATCAGAATCTCGTCAGTTGGTTCTTGGTCACCCCATGCATTGTTTTGGGTTGTTCTCCACGGTTTATACCTCAAAAGTTGATATTTACAATATAGGCCAAAATTTGGACCTTTGGGATTAGGAGAATATGTTGGAAATATTCGTGGTATAATATTCTCTGGCAATTTTGTCAGTTCATCGTTAACAACTTTGTATTTTGTAGCAAATTGAAAAAAGTTCATATTTATTATATTTTGTGAACTCTCATATTGTTCACGATTAGCATACACATCAAGAAGTGAATAATCGGTGCACGATTCACCCTCGTCAATACTTGCAGTATCACGCACTCTACGTGAACCATTTAGACTAACTGGCATCACTTTAAAGGATGAGCTATGGAGTTTTAAAGACAACAAATGATGCATTGTCTCTTGAGCTGCATAATCTCTTTCACCAAGAGATTTCATAACTACTTTCTTAATAACTCTACGAGGGTCAGTATTACTGTCAACATTTTGCACAATAGAATTGAATGCCTGTTTCAATATAGGTGATCTTGGCTCACCTTTAGCTGCATATTTTGTGAGATATTCAACACAAGCATAGTGATCAATTACAACTTGAATATCACAGTTAGCTCTCCATCCTTGGAGCTGAAGTTGTTGATGGTTATTTAACCTAGAGTCATTTCGTTTAGTTACAATTTTAGCTCGATAATGCTCATTATCACCTGAAGTGTGAATTTTTTCAAATTCTAATTTTGTCTTAGGACAAATATCAAAAGGGAAATGAAATCTACATTTCAACTCTGTTTCATTTGACTTTTTTCTAAGACAATAACTTGTACTACAACGAGTGTGTCGTTGAACCATGTTTAATAGATCTACATAATCTGATTGTTTTTCATGTTCAGGAATGTCATGATGACTTCTTTGACATGGATGAACCCCAGGTCTTATCCACATGTCCTCATCTGGTGGGTTAGGATTGATAGTTGATAATAACCAATCAACATACTGACATGCTGTGTCAGCTGCTTTCTGACCAGCTTCAATGTCCTGGTCTAGTTCAGTTGTGTCAGAACAATCATTTTCATCTTTAAATTTTTGAGCTAAGAAACCTTTCAAAGCAGTCTGAGTAAGTTGACACAAACCTGGGTCATTATTTAGTTTAGCAGTACCATGACAATGGATACTACCTCTACCTTGATATTCATATCGAAACCAGTGCCATTTTGCACCAAGTGTATCATAAAGCCAGTGGTTGACAAAGCTTTCTAATCTTTGTGTGAAAAACCAATCTACAACATGGGGATTGTTGATCACATTTTGTCGTCTTTCATCACTGGTAGAGTTCCCTAACTCATTGACAGTATCAGCATTAAATAAAGCATGTAACTCAGGCCAATGCATATCTGCAGAGGAGAAAGTGAAAAATAATGTTGGTGCTCCAACACTAGTTATGATAGCTTTGAGTTCCTCTCTTACTCTATTCCAGTAAGCATTAGTACCTGCAATGTTGCCAACATATCTCGACACTTTAGACATAAATACATTTGCATTGTTACTGGCAGCCATTTCACGCAGTTCATCAATTGTGAGATGAGCTTCACCTGGGTTCTGTTTGAGGAATATTCCACTTTGTTGTAAAATTCGTTTTCTTTGAATCATATTAAAAGCCCAATATGAAAATCTGGGGTGTTTAGCAAAACGGTATACCCATTTACCATCAATAATTTCAGCAAATTTTAGAAGATGCTTTATTCGTTCCTGAAGAGCGACATCTCTCAGAAGTCCTTGATTAGTAGGATCACCTTTCCCATCTGGAAATAATGTCGGGAAAGCCATTGTGGCCAGATGTGATATCTGATACTCATTTAATGGCTCATTTTCAACTGAGGGCCATGGTATTGGCTCATTTTCAGACAGCTGATTTCTAACAGCTTCAATTTCCTGTTGTTGTTGTTCGCCAACAGGTAAAAAACTGCTCATTTCGGTAGAGTCATTATAAACAATATCCTCTGATGGATTATCAGTAGGAGGACCTACATCAGGAGAACAATTGTCATCTGAGACTATATCATCATCAGTCTCAACAGTCATAAGACCTGGTGGTACACCATTTTCAGGTAATGAATTTAATGCATCTTCATTAATTAATAACTCAGAATAATGTGGATTGTTATTGATAAGCCAAACTAAAGCATCATACACTTTTTGCTTTCGCACTGTCACATCTCTGAATGTGTTTTCTCTACCTTTAGCCTTGACAATAATCACAGCTAAGTCTTTAGGATATCTTGGCAAAGACATTGCAAGTTCTTTGACATTTTGTGGCAGGTTAATACAATGCCCCGAATAACCTCGTTGACCACCAGGTTTAATATAAACTCTCATGATAGGCAAAGCACGAGCAATTAACATTTCCTCAATCTGAGTTAAACTCTGCAATTCATGCGGAACACATGAAGGTATCATTGAATTTTCACAAGAAAACTTTTTAGGAGATTTTTTATCTCTAGAGCATCGTGAACATGTGTAAGGTGTCCTTGGTTTAGACTTCAAGGGCCATGCCTCCTGACATACTGTGCACTGACTGACAATATATTTCACAGACTTATTAAACTTATTAATGTTAGCCTTAGCCCAACATTGCTCTTCAATACCACCATTCTCGGTGTTGTCAAACATATTTAAATAATCCTGTTGATTTATTTCATGTTCAGGCTGTGACACTTTTTTTGCCCGCTTTTGTTTTTTATTATGTCTATCTTTCTCAAGCCTTGTTTGTCTGTTGGTGTCAGTTTCCTCTGACCGCTTTCTTTTTTTAGACTCACTATCCTTTTGAAGTCTAATTTGTCGTTCGCTGTCAGTTTCCTCTGACTGCTTTCTTTTTTTAGACTCACTATCCTTTTGAAGTCTAATTTGTCGTTCACTGTTAGTTTCTTCTAAACGCTTTCTTTTTTTAGTCTCACTAGCTTTATGAAGTCTAGCTTGTCTGTCAAAGTCAGTTTCCTCACACTGCTTTCTTTTTTTGTTGGAAGCTATACATTTATTTAATTGCACAGGAACAATTTCAAATAAATTTGTATGTAGTTTCAGTGAAACAGAACACAAATATTGCTCTAAACCAATAATATTAGTAAATTTCATGACAACAGCCGTGCCATTAGGGTTGGGCATGCCGCTAAAGTCTCTGGCATGTGAATCAAATAAATAGAAAGAATCCATTTCATTTATCAGGGCCATCATATAACCCTCTAATATTAAAATAGCATAACTCTCATTCAAAAAAATATTTGTAAGAGCTGTATGAATATCATAGTAGTGAGGCTCAATTTCTCGGTCAGTTATAACAAGACCTTGAAGCTCTTTTCCATATTTTATAAACCAAAGTTGGTTTTCCATTTCTACCTCATTAAGCTCTACAGAGATAGGTAATTTGTCAATGTTTTTTGCCTCAATTATGGGCTCTGCCACAATGGGCAGATCACTAGTTGTCACCATTATAGGTGATGACTGCACAGGTAGTTCAATGTTTTTTTGTGCCTCAACGGGCAGTTCAATGTTATTTTGTGCCTCAACAGGCAGTTCAATGTTATTTTGTGCCTCAACGGGCAGTTCAATGGTATTTTGTGCCTCAACGGGCAGTTCAATGTTATTTTGTACCTCAACGGGCAGTTCAATGTTATTTTGTGCCTCAACGGGCAGTTCAATGTTATTTTGTGCCTCAACGGGCAGTTCAATAGTATTTTGTGCCTCAACGGGCAATTCAATGTTATTTTGTGCCTCAACAGGCAGTTCAATGATATTTTGTGCCTCAACAGGCAGTTCAATAGTATTTTGTGCCTCAACGGGCAATTCAATGGTATTTTGTGCCTCAACAGGCAGTTCAATGGTGTTTTGTGCCTCAACAGGCAGTTCAATAATGGGTAGATCATTATTTATCACCATCGATGGCGATGTATTAATTGTGTGGTCTATCAAAGACCGGCATATCTCGTAAGGAAAGTCATTCGACATGTTCCTACAAAATGAAACATCAACAACTGTTGGCAAGTCATCTACAGACAAAATTTCCACACCATCGTCTAGAATTAATAAGCCACTATTGAGAGCTTTTAAGTACATGTTGTCTCCTTGTATTAAGACATTATCAAACGTTTGTTTTGACCACTCGGTCAAAGGCATATTGTGTGCTGTTAAAATAGCCGATAAAGTCATGAAAGCACATTGCTTGCCTCTAGAATGAACACTAAAAAGTTCATCACCTTGATGTATATTTGATGAAAGAAATAAAGCCATACTTACCAGTTTATTTTCAGAAAAATTTCTTTCGCTTGCATTCGGTTTAAAAAAGTCTTGAGAGAGCACATGGAAATGCGTACGCATACCAAATTTTGTTCTTCGACGACCCCCCTCATTTTACGAACGCACTTGAAGCTTTAATTATGGCCCCCCGAAAAAATGGACAGAAAGACAGACAGAAGTCGAGATCTCGACAATACATAGATCGCGCGAAAGACTGCGTCGAGTGGACTCTGGAGAAACCACTGGCGAGAAACCACTGAGCTGTATAATAACTGGAGGACCTGCTCCTATACTTCGTTCAGTGATCAAAGTGAAGCCAAAAAAATGGCGGATTTTGACGTTTGCTGACGCCATTTCCATGACAACTGGTCCGTAATTCTCACAGAATTGCCACTGACCAACCGCGATCCTGAGCTTCAGACGACGTTTTCACCCCCCTGGTTTTGGCAGTGTTTTTATTAAAAACATAATATATTTTTCTCGTATTTTGCTGGGGTTTTTTTTCAACTTGGAAGGAATTAAAGTGCCGTTTTGCTCCACTTGCTGATGCAACAATTTACTTTACTTTACATAAAAGGACGAGTAATTCGTTTCACAGGTAAGATTCATGGGATGGGTAATATAGTATAGCTCAGTGCGAGAAACGCTAGCTGCTAACCCACTGAGCTATACTATATTACTGGAGGAAGTGCTCGGCAAAAAAAGTGTCCGCAAAAACATGGCGGATTTTTGCGCCATATGACGCCATTTCCATGACAACTGGTTCCTCCGGCTCATGAAATTATCACTGACCAGGCTCAATTCTGAGCCCGCTACAATTTTCACACCCCCCTGGTTTTATCAAAAATATTTTTGCTTTTCGACGCTTTTGCAGTAAATTCTCGTTGTTTTTTATATTTTTTCAACTTTTGACCGTTGGTTCAAAAGTTTAAAAGTCGTACACACTATTCTCACCCGCGAAAGACAAAAAACCGATATGAAAACCCCGAAAAATTTAGGCAAAGACGATATTTGATGGCACAGCTATTCAGGTAAATTTTCACATACTATTGATATGCTTTTTGTTTTATTTAATTCAGTTAAATCAGTTTTTTCCCTCAAATCAAAAGGGGTTTTCTACATAGACTGATGGCTGAAATCTGACATGCTTGATTTTGTGCAATTGTATGTGCTATTAAAATATTAAAGTGTATATATACAGGTGTAAAGCAGTAAAGGCATGAAACAATGTGCTTCTATCTATATTCTTTGTGTTTATATACACTAGAGTCTGTGTTTATTATAGTATGAATAATCTAGGGTGCCAGTAGAAGCTAGCCTAGGGGTACCAGAAGCTCAGGATACTGTGGGCAACTTAATATCTGGTAATATGATTTCTACCTAGATTTCTGACTGACATGTTGAATTGACGATTCTTGAACCACTAGAAATAGGATTGTACTTCTTGAATGTTGGGTACCAACCACAAGTGTAGGTATAAGCAAAGAATCTAGATTATAGACTTTATAGGGTTGCACTGGATCTCATTATACAGGCCAGAACTGAGAAAGTCACACATGCTAGTCAGACATCAAGTCAGAAACAATTTAATTGGTAGATAATGTCACTTCCAGTCCATGCAGGTGGATTTATTTGGGGTTTTGTTCATTTCAGTCCTCTCTCTGTGCACCCCTGTATGATGCAACTACCTGAAACTAAGAAATCAATGAACTTCAACATTTCAGGTGAAAGACCTATAGTATTATTTTTCAGGTAGTTGCATGATACATTGAAGCCTTTAAATAGTGTGGTGGCTTTTAAAAAGCTGCTTTTCTCATTTCCTTTCTTCACTTTCTTACTCTTTTGTCTGTAGTGAAAACTTTATTTTACAACATTTTAATTATATAATCTCTTTTTGGTCTAATTGCAGAATTATTTGATGGTGAGACAGTTCATAGTTCAACCTCTTTATTAAAGAATAACAATTATCAATTATTAGAAATAATTAATTTTGTTAGCAGTGATAAAACTATCCAGACAAGTTATTATTATTATGACTCTGTAGCCAGATGGGTATGATTTTGCTTTGGCTGTTCAGTATTTTGATCCATTGTGATATGTCTTGTGGTACCTGTGAATGACTTTACCTGCAAAATAATGAATGAATGAATGTAACATCACATTAAGATACATCCTTACACTGCAATATAATTATGTAAATATAGATGTTCAGTGTGAAGAATATGGTCTTTGACACTCTTCGTATATAATAAACATGCTATTGTGAAATGGAAATGATCAAATAATGCTTGAGCATCAGCCTCAGGATAAGCAAATTCCATTGGATTTGTGAGAGCACTTGAACTATATTGGGTCATTACATGAATTACAGAAAAGATTGAGACTCCCACAGCCTGTGCTACAAAAAACGTTACAGCTGTGACAATGTAGAGGGGTGATCCAAATAATAAAAATGTTTAATATGGACTTAAAATTATTAAGCAATTGAGTGTACCAGCACTTTCCCCTTTAACAAATAAAATTATCTAACATTGGACTGAGCAAGATAACAAAGTAGGGCACAGTGCCCCAATAATGGTTTAAAATAAATTTAAATGCTGAATTTTTTGAAAGTGCCAGAGTGGCAACTGGCAGGCTACTGAAAAGGTAGGTTGTGGACATGCATCCTAAGTAAATACTGCTACAAAAACCTGGTAGTTAGCAGTTAAAAGTTAAAACCAATCACGAATTTCATTATTTCAAAGTAATATAAAACAAAACAAGTCGAGAAAAGGATTTTGAACCCAAGATATGAGACAAAATTAATATGAGAATGAGTTTGAACATAAAGAACAAGA